AATTTGTACTAGGCCTTTGTAAGTGACAAGAATTATTAATATTGGTAAAAAGATTATGCAGTCTGGGTTTAATGTGTTGGTTGTACTCTGCGTATTATACATTTTTCATATGCAAGGCGAGGCAGAGAAAAGGCTGTCTTCATCGCGTGTGGACTCGGTACAATTTTCCACCCAAAGCGCCTTATTAATTTCCAGCTAAAGTAATTATCTGATCAAGAGGTCCACGTTTTAATCTTCATAGAGACAGAAGGAGGAGAGATCCACGCGCCGAACGAGCAAGTGGTGTGTGTAAGTGAGTCATTTATCCCTTCGTTGGGAAAGGAGGAGAGAGTTGGCAGCAGAGAGCTTCATCTGCCCTCCCATCGGTTCGTTACAGAATTCCCTAATAGGTGGTGAACGGGGGGGTTGGATGATCCGGAGCATGCTGACAGAGGAGGGGGCTGCTACCCAAAAAAAAAAAAAAAAGCCAGACGTCTTGTTCACACTTGGTGAGACGCAGATGTTCTGGAGTCGGTCGACAAGGCGCTTTAACCTCTTCGCTCTCATCGTTATGCTGGTTTTCCCACTCAGCCCCGCACCTGTTTGGTACCACCATCCTGTAAACTTTAAAGATACCTCCGACTAGTTGGAACAACAGTTCATAAACAGTTCATCCAGCTATAAAAACAGGACTGTAAGAACACTGTAGGCTGTTCAATTTTTACAATTTTTCAAAAATTAGTAACATATGGATGTCGCCGTTTTAATTACTCTGCCGTGCATTCTGGGTAACTGATGTAGATAGGTTGCTCTGGTGCGAGCTCCGTTCAGCTTGGATGTTGTTTTTGGACATTATTCCACGTTCAGCCCTTTAATTTGAGCCGGAGCGCATTGACAGAGAGGAGAATGGAGAGATGACTCAGCTTTTGTGTTTGCTCTGGAGCGAATATATGACGTTAGCTCCAGAGCAAACACAGTGGTTCCCCTCGGTCACTTGCCCTGGCAGAGCGCTCATCTCTTGAGTTGTGTCAACCGGTGGGGGGGTTGTAGGAGGATGCATGAGAGAAGCGGAGCGCTATGTTTGTAGCTTTTTAGCTAGCGCGTCTGAATTGCGTGCCACTACGTAAGTGCCAACAGAGGTGGGGCACTTCGGTAGGCAGGATGCTCAGTTCTGTTGCCAGGGCGGGGCCCCCTCCTTGTATAACGGGAGGGAAAACACTGAAACATACGACGTTAGCTACAGAGCTAATAAATGACGTTTGTATTTTTTTATTGTACTCTATCGATCCCCAACGGGGAAATTAATTATCTGCATTTTTCACATGTGAGCACATATGCATGTGAAGCAGTGGGCTGCCATCCAAGGCGCCTGGGGAGCAGCTGGGGGGGTTAAGGGTCTTGCTCATGGGTCCGAGTGGGGCAAATGATGAGGAAGGCAGGTGTGAGTGTTTCACCACTTCCACTCACAGTTTTGATGCTGTCGGTCCAGGGAGTTGACCGGTATCCATTGGATCACAGGCCCACCCTCTCTAACCTCTGCACCACCACTCCCCAGCCCCAAGTCTCCACTCCCAATGTCGGCTCCAGAGCTAACACCGTATATAATATAAGATACGATAGAACGTTAATGATCCCACAGGAAATTGTTGAATGATGTTAGCTCCAGAGTGATTAGCATTAACTCCAGAGCTGAAGTTTTGATTTTTTTTTAAATGATTCTGTTTTTCTCTGACAGCTTTTCTTCAAAGTTGGAGAAGCCTGACCAACATTAAGTGTCGGGGAAAATTCCAAGCTCCTCTCTCAGACTACAAAGTCAACAAGTCTTTCCCCTTCAAGAATTCAGCCTCTCAGTAGCTGCGGTAACTCGCCACGGCCTCCTCATGGGCGTGTACGCACAAATCCTAAAGGCGCGCTGAATGAAACCGACGGTGATCTCACACACACACACATGCGCTGCGTGTTTACACAGTGCAAGACGGCGGACAGAATGCTCGTCTATGGACGCGGAAAGGTCCGAATCCCCACACCAGACGCAGCTGACAGATTTGTGGTTCCTGCCACAGAAGATGTGAAGTCATGCGTGTTCACGGTGTTCCTGTTTACAACTTGTGAGTGGAATGAGCGTACTAAGAGGTTAAGTCTTATTGTTCAAAGGATCATTGTTTTCATGGCAAATTTAACTTCGTCTTCAAGCTGGGAACAGGGGTGCCACCAAGGGGAGCTTAAAAAATTGTTGGCTCCCCCACTGGCTCGCCTTGTCAAGACGGTTTTATTTTGAGTCCCAAGCTTTGCTTGGTGTGCATTTTTTATTTCTTCTTGCTATTTAGAATCACTAGAAATGAGTTAAAATTCAAATATGTATTTTATTTAAAATTGACAATAACATTTAAAATATTGTCCCCCTGAATAAGGACAACTGGTTTAAAGTCCTCAACATCAGGAAACCGAGTCTAAAGAGGCTTTATGCTTTTTAAATATATATATGAATACAAATTTAAGAGAGGACGAGCTTCAGTGAGTTCACTATTGAACTTGCTTTTCTCAAAAGCAGCAAAAGAAGTTAAAACCAGCTGAGGTTTCATCTCTGAACTATTATCGAGATGAATTAGAACAGTTGACATTTGCTGATCGAAGAAAAATAAAAGCTGATAACAGCAGACAAATTGTAAAAACGCAGGAGAAAGGAGAAGAAGAATAAGCCGAAATAAGCACCGAGTGGCTGAAGAGATTACAAAATGCCTTAAAATAAGATGAAAATAAACAACAACAACAAAAAGAAGCTAAAAAGTAGCTAGAAACTAAAAATTATTAGAAGAAAAAAAATCACAAAAGGTGGAAATTAAAGAAAAAATAACAGCAGAAAAAAGGCTAAACTATTAGCATAAAAATATCTCAAAAGCAGCTGAAAAAGCTGGGAAAAAAAATCTAAATTTAGAAGAAAGAAGCTGAAAGGAGCAGAAACAAACTGAACCAGACCAACAGCTAAAACGAGCAGTAACCGGTTGTAAACAGCTCAAAGAGTTTCAAGGATGTGGAGACAAATATGGCCGACAAAGCTAAATACAAAAAAAAAAAACAATAAATAAGATTGCACAAATACCAAAAGTCACAGCAGGAGTGTCCTGAATGAGCTGAACGTTTAAAGACAAACAGCTGAAACTGAACAACCGAGGAACGAGTTGCGTGCTGAAAAACGTACGGAAGTAAAACGGATCTGAATGAGAACGACTCAGAAACATTCACACACAAATCCAACTATTTATTGCTGTAGTTGTCGAACAACCTACATATGACGTAAAAAAAACCCGTCCTGAAATGCTTTGGTTGTGATGTGCCACCCCAGGATTTTCAGTGGTTCCCATTTGGCCCCCATTAAAAGATTTCTGAAGGTGTCAATGGCTGGGAAACTACCAGAAAAAAACGGGGTTTTGGGAACCAGTTAGAGCTGAGGATGTAAACTGTGCAGCTCAGAGGCAACACCTCTGTAAACTGCTGTGTGCAGGATAAAAACAGCACAATGACCAACAAAGAGTAGCATACACAGCAGTGGATTACCTTTAAAAGTCCCACATTTCAACAACACCCAGTTGAGATTCCCTGATCCTTAACACACACACAGCCCTATTACTTCCAAAGACCATTTCTCATCAAAGCCGTATATTTCATATTTTTTTACAAACAGATGTTTCAGCCTCGTTCTCAACAAGCTCCAGCCATGTTTCAATTCCCTCCACCACAGCATTGACGCTTTCCTCCTTTTGTGTCCGTGTGAGAAGCAAAGAAAGACGCTCGGTCTTGTTATGTGTCAGCGACACTCATTAGTCCGGCCTTGCGTTAAGCAAATTACCCAGAAACCGCCACCGCTGTTATGCTGATGATGTGACGCTGTACCCGCTTGTAAAAACCTTTTGAAAATGTGATTCCCTTCAACATCGTGAAAGATAATTTCAGAGTGTCTCGTTTCTCAAAGCTGATCTGAGGCAATTTTCCCATTAACGGCAAGACAGCGTCCAAATAGCGAACTTAAATTATAACTCAGATTGTGCATTTATTCCAGAGGGTTCGATGCTGGTCTCCAGAGCTTCCTGGTAAAGTTAAAAAAAGTAAATAAATAAAAATTAAAAGCCAGCTGTTGCTGTCTGCATTAACCCAAGAAAATCTCAGAGGCTGGTCTTTGAGCTGAATGTTGTAGCACTGATTAGAAAATATGATTTATTATTCTCACAGAATGCATTTTTTTTACAACATTATGAGAAACAGTTGTTTAAAAAAACATATATATTTTGGTCATGTACTCAAAAAACTGTGTTAAGAAGATTTTTGACAGTTCATTGTATATAAATGTCGCATGTTATTGGTATTAACTTTGTTTTATCTGACATGATATAATCGGTCACGTAAAGAAAGATGCACCCTATTTTATGATGGTTTATTTTATAACAACTTTGTTTTATGAAACTTTGAGGTTTGGCACTAATGTAAATGACATTTTTGACCTGGTAAAAAAAAACAGGTCTCTCTTGAAAATGAGTTCTCGTGACTCAATGAGACTACCTGTATAAATAAAGGGTAAATGAAAAATATACTGTATATATATATATATATATATATATATATATAATAAAGGATTACCGTAATAAACATTTCTGGCAACACATTAAACTAAAAGAAAAAGGAGGGGAAAAAACATGTGAGAGGTTGCCATGATGCATGTGGGATTGCATAAACAACTTTTGTGGACTTTCTGGAGCGGGGCTATTCAACTGGCGGCCCGGGGGCCAAATCAGGCCCAAGGATGAACTCAGTTCGGCCGACCAATGGGTTAATTTGAAATAAAACTAGATTTTAAACCATAAAACAAACTTTCTTATTGACAATAACTGCTGGATGTCCAGCCCCTGAGCTCTTCGCTTTCAGCAACTTTGGCCTCCTGAGCAATTAGTTGCATAGCCTCTAAAAATGCTATTAGCTTGCATGGACTCCTGTAGAAGCAGTCTGAAGAAGGAAACCTGGAGACTCACCTTCTTCTGCAGAAACCAGGAGGCTCCAGTCAGAGAAGATGCAGCCCAGCAGCAGAACCAGCTCCATCATCGTGGTGTTCAAACCCAGAGGTTCTGGAAGCCTCAGCTTTCAAGCTGCATTGAGAGGAGTTAAAAAAAAAAAAAAAAACGAAATCTCCAACCTGGTGAAGTTGTCCAACTTTGATGGAGAAGTCTTCCGTGCAGAAAGGCTTGAAACTCAACTCCCCGCCTCGGCCCTGCTGTCAGCACGCGCACTTCATGGTTGAAGCTCGGCGTTAAAAGGGGCTCTTTGTGCTCCCCCCACCCCC